AAAAAAAAAAAAAAAAAAGAATCATGAAAATGAAATATTATGACTCAGACATTTCTGCAATTAAGCGTAAAATGAAAGACGTGTCTAACCGTATGTAGAAAGGGTCCCATAGTGTGGATACATGAGAGGTCCAGAAGGCGGTTTTCTCCTACGCTCGTTATGGCCGGCGAGCCGCCTCCGGCAACTCCGTTTTCCTTGGTCGAATTCCGGCAACTGATGGAACCTGCACAAGAGGATAAAATCTCATCACAAACCGAATTCTAATTGTCACCCAAAAACTACAAGAGCTTGTATATCAAGCTGTATATGGTGGTGAACTTCTGAATGCACGACTAACATTAGTTGTCGGCTGAAAGTGTTCTACGATCATTTTCAAGAAAAGACCGTTGATCAAATAACACAAAGGTACAATGACTAAAGCTCCCCTGAGGTTTAGTATAATGACAAAAGTGACTATGTTTTTTTTTTTATCTCAAACATACAAATGCCATCTTAAACTGTTAAATGTACATCCCTTGAGTTTTGTATATTGGGACTTAGATTGTATATCTAAATGCCAAATTGGTCTTTTAGGTAATAGACTAAAACTCAGGGGTCTTTTTTGCAATTAGAACTAATATTTACTACTGTAGTAACTTAAGCCGGAGGAAAAAATTAATGGCAACCGGTCTCCACTAGGGAAAGAATGAAAGCTAACATATAAACTCATTTCTGCACCAGATCGAAGTCGAACCGGGCTAAAGCCAAACTCGAGCAATCTTTTCGAGCATATGAATTTGACCTATCTCGAGTCGAGTCGAGCCTCGTAAACCATGGCTTGATGTGCTCGAGCAGGTAAGAAGAAAAATCCAATCCTCGCTTGATATTTAGCTCAATGTTCGACTCGGCTCGATTCCTTTGCATCCCTATGCAACAGTATTGTCTTTCTAAGCTCACAAAACTAAACCCCAAATCCAACATCATCATGAGAATACGTACTTCAAATCCATCCAAACAGAAAAATTAAAATGAAACACCAACATCACAATAAAACTGAATCATAAAAACACAATTAATTGTGAAAAACATCGAATCATTAACCAAGAATTGTACATCACAATTCCACAAACAACACCAACCAACCAAATCAGAGAAAAAGTAAGAGTTAGTCATAATAATAGTAATAATAAGCATAAAAATCACAGTGAAAAAAAAAATGATAGCTCAAGCCCAACCCAATGCATAGCAAAAGCAAAGATTGTTCTTTTGAGAGAGAGAGAGAGAGAGAGAGAGAGAGAGAGAGAGAGAGAGAGAGAGAGATGACCTACTACACTGCTGGCAAAACCTTTGCTCAAGGCCAGCAACAATGACTGTTGGAGACTTAGAGTGGACAGCACAAACTTTGTGCCTGCTGTAATAAGCCTTAGAATCACTTAGATCTGCGCTGCATCCCTCCACCTGGCAACGTGGTGGCTGCCCGCCTTGCGCCGCCACCGTCCGCCCTTTCTTGGCCGGGGACGTCGGCGCTGCTGAACAAGCGCCGGCAAAGTAGATTTTCTTGCCGAATTTAAAGCCGTTGAACGAGTCGACCCCACCGCAACCCGATGAAGAAGAAGATGATGGTGAACCCTTATCCATTTCCCCTGATATCTGAAGCCCAATCAGAGAATGCATTGTTCTAGAAAAGAAAAACAGGGTGACAAAGTGGGAGAGTAACTAAACTCAGACAGGCTTGTTGTTATTTCAATTTTCATGTACAAAGTATAATAGTACTAGAAATATGGGATCATAACTGAATAAAGATTGGAGCTTTTTTTTTTTTTCATTTTTGCCAACAAAGCTTTTGATAAAAATACAAATGAAAATGGAGAGGGACACTTTTTAGCTCAAGAGCTCTGCAGAAAAACTTGAAGGGTTCAAATAAATAAAAGAGAACTTACTCAAGATTGGAGTTTCTTTTCCTTTTAACCAACAAAATTTATTGATAAAATACATACAAATGCAAAGGGAAAGGGAAAGGAACACTTTTTATGGCAGAATTTGCAGATAAAACTTGAAGGGTTCAGAAAATAGTGGAATTATTTGATCAACAGCTAAACAAAGATTGAAACTTTTTCATATTTACGAACAAAACCTTTGATAATTTACGAATGGAAATGGAAAGGCGAAAGGGGCGTTTTATGGCTGTTTGCTGATAAACTTGAAGGGTTTATAAATAAGGGGCACTTTTTTTTTTTAATAAAATATGGGCAACTTATGGTGAGATTGCATATTTTTTATAGAACAGAATTCTTGTTTTTGGCAATTTTATTGATTTCTTGATATAGGTGTGTGTGTGTGTGTGTGTGTGTGTGTGTGTGGTGGGAGTGGTGATGTGAAACAGTAAACTGTAAAAAGTAGTCACCTGACAAATGGGCCATAATGCAAGCTTGGGTTTTGTGCGCAGAGTATTTTCTCAAGTGAAGTTTTTTCTTTTTTTTTTTTTTTTTTTTTTTTCTGGGGAAAAAATGGAAAATTGTGTGCAGAATATAATGGAGGAGGAAAGTAACAGAGGAAAAGGAAGGAGGAGACAAGTGATATATACTACCTCCTATTCATTATAAATGTCGTTTTGACTTTTTTGATTCATCCATTTTGTTATGTATCTAGACATAAATGTCTAGATACATAACAAAATGGATGAATAAAAAAAGTCAAAACGACATTTATAATGAATAGGAGGGAGTATATATATATTTTTTTTTTCCTATAAGTTCTTTTTGGGGAGTTGATCTTAGCAGCTTTTTATAAGTGTTATCAAACTCCAACTGTCCCTTTTTTAGAAGTATTTTTCTTGATATCTCTTTATCTGCCTCACTTATTTGAAAAATTGGCTTAGTCCCTTATGGCTAGAGTTTTAAAGGAGTCGAGACGAGCTCGAGTTTAGGGTGCTCAAATTCGAACGAGCCCTTAACGAGCCGAGCCGAGATAAATAAACGAGCCTCGAATCGAACTCGAACCTTAACGAGCCGATCTCGAGGTTTAACGAGTCGAACTATAAAAAAATATATAAAAAATTTGTTTTCGAGCCTTATCGAACCGAGTCGAGCTCGGCTCGTTAACCAAACGAGCTTTAAATAAGCTCGATCTCTGCTCGCTAAGGCATCAAACTCGAGCCAAACTCGAGCCGAGCTCGAGTCGAGCCGAGCCGAGCTAGTTTAATCTATGGCCAACTATGACATATACCAATGTGGTGGTGGTGTTGTTGTTATTATTATTATTATTATTATTATTATTATTATTATTATTATTATTATTATTATTGTTATTGTTATTATTATTGGCTTTTTGATATATGATTTTTATTTATTTTGCCTTTTTGGGGTTTGGAAGGATGTGAATTGTGATATTTACTGTATTTTATTAGTAAATACACATTAATTTTAATTACTATAATGTTTAGTTATATTGAGTTTGCATAGACTAGAAGATGAATATGCTTTATGGATAATATGTAACTGAGCCAAAAGCATAACATGTATGTCATACACACATACTAAAGCACCACAAACAAACAACATTACTGTGTCTTGCTCATGTTATAATTCAATTTAATTTTATTATTTTACAATTTAGGTAAAAGACAATCTAGTTGGAGTAAGTGATGTTAAATTAAATGACACTGGTTCGGCTCGAGCTCATTTAAAACTCGATCCGTAACGAGTTGTGCTCGGCTCGATAAAACTCGAAAATAGAATTTTTATATAATATTTAATAGTTTGGCTCGTTAAAGGTCAAGACTGGCTTAAGGCTCGAGCTCGAGGCCTTAACGAGTCGAGTTCGAGCTCGAATTTTGGCTCGTATATATGTGTGTGTGTGTGTATTATACTCAAACGTATACATTATAAATAAAAGTATGATGTTTCATTACGTATGTATATATTTTTTAGTAAGAAATTACGACAATTTACAGTAAGGGAGATATATGAGGTCCTTGTGTCCAATGTACACAACTTTTGAATCAAACCACCACAACCTAATGCAGGGTGCATATGAAATAAACTCTATCCTTTGCTAGATTAACAATCAGGAAAATATTATGGTCCCGTTACGGAACCATTCCGTCTAGATTTGTAATCGTTGAATCATCATGTAACTGTCGGAGATAGTTGATTTAACGGTTACAAACTCCGACGGAATGATTCCGTAACGGGACCGTAACATCTCTAAAAACTCAATCACTATTTGTTTTCATAGGATAAGTTGAAAATTAAAGTAAAATTTTTTACTTTATAGGTGAGTATGCGAGATTAAATTAAAGTAAAATTTTTTATAGTCATAAACCAATCATAATTAAACATTCTTTTTTACCACATTTCCTAAAGTTGGACATCCCTTCGATAAATTGGTATTTTTAAAAACGATACACTAACTTGACTCTTATCAACTTTGGGCCTTTGGCACACTAACTTATCAAAAATAAAAAAAAAAATAAAAATATAAAATCATTAGGCATGTAATTAGTATATCAATTCTGATGATTTTTTAATACTAATTTTCCAAAAAAAAAAAAATATGATTTTTGCAAGCGAGATGATGAATGATATTATTATTTAAAAATAATAATATAGTGGATAAAAATGATTTTTTTTTCTCTTAAAATTTACTTCAATAAAAATTTCGTTTTATATTTTCCTTTTTCCCTAACTAATAACGAGGATAAGTAATAATTAAAGCAAAACACAACATCTCATCCTTAGCTGTGGTGAATATTATTTGATTTTGCAATATATTGAGAACCACTAAAAGAAGAGAAAGCAAACTAATCTCGTATCCCTTGATATCTTGACTTCGTTTATGGTCTACCAAATTTCAAAATAATGACGACGATTATACTAAAATATTTTTTTTGGTACATGGACCTTCCGAATTTTTGGATCCACAAGAGAATTGATTATATTAAAATATTGATTTGTAATAATTACTTTTTTATTTCGAAAATGCATTCAAATAATACAAAAGTCGTACAAATTTAAATATTATACTGCTCATAAGTATATACTTTTTATTTGGATATCATATTTAATTTGGCCAAGTACAAGAAAGATCAAATATGAGCAACTCAAACTCCAAGTAACACACACATATATACATGCATATTTCCGATGAGAATTTTTAAATGGTTCGTGGATTTCGATTTAAAAAAAGAACCACCCATTGTTCCTATTTGGATCAAAATCCCAATTCTTCTCCTTTATTGCTTTGATTTAAAGACTTTTCCAATAATCGCCAACATATTTGGCACCTTATTAAAAGTTGATGATGTCACACTGAAAAAACTCGTCACTACTATGCACGCTTTTGCGTAGCCCCTAATCTTGAATCCCCCCATTCTGCTAGCATTGTTATTTTCTTGCGAAAACAAATGCGTTGAACTCACTGTCGAGTTCGACGCTTACCAAAATACTGTTTATATTGCTTTTATTTGAAACATGATGAATCAACATATATGTTATTATGTTACATAAAAAATCCAACCATATGTCCTTTCAAAATTAACAAAGGAAAAAAATCCTCACATTGACCTCTCTCCACCTATTTCTACCCCTTCTTCTTCTCTTCTGTCCCCACCTCCCGCTAGCCTACCCAAAACCTCATCCCTTGCCCCGAACCCGACTCCCATGGAATCGGCACCCCTGCTTGGTCAGGCTCCACCCAAACCCTCCTTACTAGGCACGGTTCCTTTCTCGGTCTAAATTTTTACTCCCTCTACTTTTTTTGAGGCGGGACCAGGCAATGTGTCTGACTCTTTTGAGCCAGGTTCACCTAACTCCAACTTAGTGTGCGTTAAGTCTTGCTCTGATTCTGTACTAGACTTTTCAAACCACTCTCTTCCCTTTTTCTGAATTTGAAGATGACTTCATTGTCGCCCTAAACTACCGTAAAAAACAAATCATCGCTTTCCCCTCCCCCTCTGCCCTACCCTCTTGCCTCCAGACTTACACGAACTCTTTTGAAAAAAAAAACATCGGATCAGGCGCAGTACGAGGAATAGGAAAAAATCGGACACTATGGACTTGTAGGAGATTTGACCCTCCGCACTTATTTTCTCCGGCTCTATCGGAGAATAATCCCCCCAAAAATCGGTTCGTTTATAATAAAATGTTTGAGTTTGGTTTTAAATAAAAAAAAAAAAAAATATCTTTCACTATATCACTTTTTTTTCCCCTCAAAATCTTGTAGGAGTATATTTTTGCCTTTTTTGTTTTATTTAAGCGTTATATATATGACGATAGAATTCAATTGGGATGACATCACGTGCCGAGCACTGATGACGCACAGGCACAGGATTGAAATTTGCACTTCACACAATCTTGTAGTCTTCTGCAATAACATGGGACATTATTTTCTATATTTTTGTTAGATCATGAGAATAAAGCTGATAGATAGGTTTCATTAACACTCAAGTTTGTTTAGTTAATTAATGAACCGAGCCTGATTTATTAAAACTCGTTAAAACTTAAAAATATTAATTTAATGATGTGATTTTCTTTAGCTCGACTCAATAAAGCTCAAATTCAGCCCGTTAAGACTCAAGCTTCATGACTTGTTAATATACATGAAAAACTACTCAAACTCGAGCCCGTCTACCAACTTGGCCCAATAAACTCTCAAACTCGAGTATCAAGATCTTG